GGGGGGGGGGGGGGGGGGGGGGGGGGGCGTTCGTGTTGGGCCTTGCGCCACGCAGGGCGCACGCACGGCGCGCGCAAGCGCGGCGAGGGTGGGCGCGCCTTTTTTGAGGCGGACGCGGCGCTCGTTCGGGCGCGGGTGGCGGGGCACACAAGTGCTTCAACTAGCTTGACCGCTGAGCTGGGCTGCTATTCGCACCTGGTAGTGCGTCGGGAAGTGGTTGCGCGTGTAGCAGAAGGGGCAGATCCACACCTGCGCGTTGTGACACGGGGAGGGGGGGGGCATCAGCCAGCCTCAGACCCTCTGAAGGTGCGTGCGGCCGGGGTGCGCGGGGGTGAGAAACAGGAAGCTGGCGGGGCAGCCGGCGGTGGCGCCAGCAGGTTGAAGCTCCCTGCCCCCTCATCAGCAGCCTGGAGCAGCGGCGGCACCAAACTGTGCGCGAATGATAGCCTTTGCGGACCACCACATCCCAGATCGCATCCGGTCTCCCCAGATCGCACCTTGGCGTAGTAGTCCACGCTAGCGTACGGGTTGAGCACGCCGCCGCACTGCTTGCAAGGGACGGGCTCATAGGGCACGACCTGGGAGTCATGATGCATTCAGACCGGGAATAGATAAGAGTTGACGGGTGCGCAACACCAGTACACGAGCACGTGCGTGGGTGGCGAGAGACGCCAAGCCCGGCTTGAGATGGGCGCAGGGACGCTGGGGCGCCCACGGCTGCTCAAAGCACACTGTTCGCCGAGGCGCCGAGAAACTGCTCGCGCCTCCCTGCCAGCGCCGCTGCCTCGGCCCCGCCCGCCGCTTCGGCGGCCGCTGCATGTCCCTTGCTGCATGCTGCTGCACCGGCTGACGACAGTGCTATCAGTGTTTAGGCGCCAGCTGCAGCACCCAGCGCTCAAGACCAGGCGGAAGCCATCTTCGCCTCTCGAACACAGTAGCTGCGCCCAATAAGCGTGGAACCCGCGCTGTTAGCATCGTCAGCACCCTGCTGCTGCTGCTGCTGCTGCTGCTGCTGCTGCTGCTGTTGTTGCTGCTGCTGCTGCTGCTGTTGTTGTTGCTGCTGCTGTTGTTGCTGCTGCTGTTGTTGCTGCTGCTGTTGTTGCTGCTGCTGTTGTTTCTGCTGCTGTTGCCGCTGCTGCCACCGCTGCTGCAGCTGCATTTGTCGCTGCTGCTGCTGCCATGTGCCCACGCCCTAGCCACGGGCAAGCTCCTGAGCTCACCGCCGACACATTCGACCGAGGCCCGTGTCTTTCGTGCATCAGGCTTGTTATTGCATACTGCACGCACACATACACACACACACACACACACACGGTGTATACACACTGCCCCGTTCACGCACGCGTGCTGCAGCATCCGCCTGCATGCTGGCCCCTGCCCGGCACCCACCGGCATGTTGGGCAGCCGCTTGTTGGGCGTGTACATTGCCGCAAACGGGATGACGCATCGCGTGGCCTCGATCTTGGTGTTCGGCCACAGGTTCCAGGTCAGCCTGTATGATGGTCGTTTGGTGGTCAACCGTCACCAGGCCGCATTGCACCCGTTCACACCGATACAGCGACAGTGGCACGTGCGTTGGCCGGGCAGCGCAGCTGGTCCGTATGACAAACGCACTGACCGCGGGAGAGTGCCTGGAGCTGCGTCCCCGCTCTGTCAGGTGCCAGTTGCGCCATCGCAGGCTGCACTGTTTGGGCGGCGCAGGTGTCTGACAGCCAACGAGCTGCGGCTTCGCCGCGGCCGCAGCTGCAGCAGCAGCAGCACATCAAGGGCGCCAGCACTGGTGCGAGGTGCCCCACAGGGTGCCGCTTGGGCACAGCCGTGCTCTGATCGGTCCAAGGCCCGTTTTGACAAGATATCCACTCCTCTCAACACAATTAAAACCCCACAAAGCGCTGGGTACGAGCCAACCGCATGCCTGCCTTGGCCTGATCGCCAGTGCTGTGTCCCTCGGACATGGGAGTGTTGTCAAGACCACAAAAATTGCGTTCACATTACAAGGACCTCACCTCAAGGCATCGGTATCCTCCACCGCGTTGAAGTCCATCCTGCAGCCGATCTGGCCCCCCTCAGGGGCTCACCGTTGTCTAGTCCTCTGATACGTCTCGTTTTAATGTTCTCGGTTGTGCTGCTACGCTTCCAGCACGCCGTGTTCGTGCTCACTCCCCGCGGCACCAGCAGCTGCACCACGGCTGGAGCAACCACCGTGAGTCCGATTTATCTAGGACACGCAGCAAGACGCGATTCTACGCGCTAGCCTCAAGACGAAGAACCTCTTTCTCAGGCGCAACAATTGCGCAGCCATCCGCGCGGGGCAGGGAAGCTGCGGGGAAGCCTGACTCGTGTCAAACCATGCGTGCTGTACGGGCGCTGGGCTGCTGCTTGTGTACAAGCGTACAGCAGCAGATACCGGTACCTGAAACGCAGACGTGGCGATGATTGCCGCTGATACCCCCCGCCCAGCCATTGCAGGACGCAATCTGCCGGTGCACCAGTGTTGTGTGTACAGCACGCGCGGCAGCCCACGCTGTAAGGTGGGTGAGCATCGGGTGGGAGAGCTATGCTGCTTCTAAAAGGAAACGCTCAAACTGAAAAGCCTCCCCCTCCCTGAATCATCACGCCTCCACTTTGGCGGCCGCCCAAAGCGTCCCTGCGGGTGATTGATCGACCCGCGCCCTCCCTGACACCGCCGGCAAACGCGACAAGCCACCGGAGCGTCGGCACAAGGTGTTTCCTGACGCCGCGCAGATCGCAGCCATTGGCGCAAAGGTATCCGCAGGCCACCTGCCAGCCGCGGCCTGAGTAACGTGCGAGCACCAACGCTCGCACCAAGCGCACGCCGTGCTGCTGATGCGTCTCAGGGTGGAGCGGCAAGACGGGTTCGAGTGTTCGACAAGGCACCAGGAAAAGCGCCACGCACATGCTGCCTGGCTGCAGGGCATTCATGTGGCCCCTGCAAAGCTGTTAGGCACCTCAACTGCCAAAATCTTGGGCTGGCACAAGTCAGGCAGGCGGTTTTGAGGGGAAGCAATGCTTACCAGCACAAACACGTATTGCTTACAGAACCTGAAAAACATAGTTGGGGTACATTCCTGAGACCATAGACCGCCGCCGCCGCGTGACGCAGAGGCTTGAGGTATGGCTCGCTTGCTGGGTTGCTTGCTGCTCGTTCGCTCTCTGGCTGCCGGGGCAGGGCCTGCATTTGGGATGTACACGGTGCAGCTGGGCGCGTTGCTCGCTCGCAGAAAAAAAACGGAGGGCACCTTGAGCAATTCACACGGGCTGACATACATATGGTCGTGTGCACCCCTTGGGCAGCCGACGGCCGTTGGTTGTGGGTGTGATGTCCAGCCACCCAAGGGCTCTCGGGTGCACGTGGCTGAACGACGCTGGGTGTCGACACCCCATTCACAGAGGGGAACACCTCCGCAGCACACATCATGTTATGATAAGATCAAGCCGGCCCTCGTGGGCAGCGGCAAGCGGAGCATGGCGTGAAGCCACCCGCCCTCAACTCGCAGGGCGCTGCTTGCGTGATTGTACAGGTTGAGCGGTACAAAACGGCCACGCGCTGCCGCCCGCCAGGCGCGCTTCATAGGTGGTCGGCCGCGCGGTTGCAGTGAAAAGGGTGGCGCCGCGGCCCACACGCATACATAGTAGAATCACAGGCGCCGGGAAGGGGCACCCCCAGAGCGTGACCATGACGTCACCGTGACATCACCCTGCGGTCACATCCTGAACACCCCGAAGCGCGTGTCCTTGATCGGCGCGTTCAGCGCTGCGGCCAGGCTCAGGCCCACCTGCGGTGGTGGCAACAGCACCGGGGCAGCAAGGGAGGGAGAGGGTGGGTTCACGCAGTGTGTTATCGTGCACCCCTGTGCGCATCACGAGGCACCACGACGCCCCAAATTGATGCTCCCGAGGTGCAGATGCTGCAACCCCTGGCTAAAACACATCGAATACGTCAATCAGCAAGTGTGTTGAGGACCTGGACTGACGTGCAGCCGGTTGGGCAAGCACTCAGCATTAATTATACCGGAGGTGCGCCGGAGAGAGCTCCGGCGCATGAGTCTTGCGGGCCTCTCGCTCACCACGCGCCGCGTTTCCGCGGGGTCTATTACGCCATCGTCCCACAGCCGCGCGGACGCATAGTAGGGGGACCCCTCGCTGTCGTATCGCGCGGCGATGGCCTCCTTGAACGCCGCCGCCTCCTCGGCCGGCCAGGGCTTGCCGGCGCGCGCGCGCTTCTCCTCCTCGACCTGTGGTGTGTGTGTGTGGGTGTGTGCATGCGCGCGCGCGCCAAACTGTATTTCTGGTTGTAAGACCAGCGGGTCAATTTTGGTGCGAGGGGGATCGTGCCTGCCTGCCTGCCGCTCCGCTGGCGGTATGAGCAGGCAGGCAGGCAAGCTGCAGGGCATCAGGCAGCGCCTTGATGCGAACTGCAGGCGGCCGCGGGACGACCGCGCCACACCAACCCCCGCAGCGCGCCCCACCTGCGCCAGCACCCCCGCGGCCTGGTCTCCTCCCATCACGCTGATGCGCGCGTTGGGCCACATGTAGAGGAACTGGGGGCCATACGCGCGCCCGCACATGCCGTAGTTGCCTGCAAAACATTTGCGTTTCTCTCATCTTGATGAGCGCCATTCGGGTGCGTCGGGCACAAGGGCACTTTTGTGGGAGTCCAGAGCCGCAGAACCCCACCAACTTTGGCTGCGTTGGGTGCCGCGAGTCGGCCGCTCGGCCGGCGCGGCGCATGTGACGTCAGCGGGGGCCTGGCGAGTGCTGGCAGGCGCCGCCCCCTCTGCGCGCACCCCGTAGCCGCACCTGCGCCGAAGGAGCCGCCCACGATGACTGTGATCTTGGGCACGCCCGCGTTGGCCACTGCGCGCACCATCTTGGCGCCGTCCTTGGCTATGCCGCCCGCCTCGTATTTCTTGCCCACCATGAAGCCTGGGGTTTTATTGGGGGGGCGCGGGGGCTAGGACGATATGAGACGAGTGACAGCGGAGGTCATGCGTGTGGCAGATTCGGAGGGGGCGGAGCGACACGGGCCCGTCAGCCCCGCTGACACCCGATTGGACCCCTCAACCCCCAAAAGACCAGCCGTTGCCCATCCATGATGGTCCCTAGGCACCACAACCCCCCCCCCCTTCCTCCAGACAACCACGCTCTGCCGGCGCAGCCCCCGCGCGCGACACTGGTGACAACCGACGGGCTTCCCCCACCTCCCCCATCCCCACCTCTGCCCTGCCTGATGACCAGCACGATGACTCAACGTCCGTGATGTCTGCATGCTCCCCCCACC